ATTTACAATATATCCAGGAAATAATACATTATCAATTGACAATGCAGTTATTGGACAGCTTCCCAATTTTTTGGCTTTTTGCATGGTAAAAAACAAATCATATTCTGGAAATCGGGCATTAAACCCCTTCAACTTTGATCATTTTAAAATTCAACGCTTTAATCTATTGGTTAATGGAGTACAAGTACCATCGCAGGCACTTGAGTTTGATTTCTCGAACTCTGAAAATGCTCAAAGCTCTAGAGGATATAATATGCCATTCAGATCAAGTGGAATAAAACATTATGATCGAGGCTTACAAATTACAAAGGAAATGTTTGATAAAAATAGTTTTATATTAGCATTTGACCTAACTGCAGACCATCACAATTCAACTGTATGCTCAAATTTAATATCACAAGGAGCCATCCGAATTGAAGGACGATTTTCGGAGCCTCTTACAGAAACAGTTACTTGTCTGGTATACTGTGAATATGACTCAATGATTGATATTGATGAACATAGAAATATTCGTGTTCTATTGTAAAAATGAATATATTGCAAATCGATAAGTTGCTTTCCAAGCATTCAAAAACAAAAACAATTTTTAAAGGAGTTTATCCCTCTGATCAGCTGCCTCAAGTAATTTCGAAATATCATGCTTTACTAATAGCAAACACAGATTCTTCAAGCCATTCAAGAACTCATTGGGTTGCTTTTTACTTTGAAAACAAATATTCAGCAGAATTTTTTGATTCATATGGTCAATATCCCCAAAATAAAGAATTTTTAAAAATATTAAGGAAAAATTCCATAAAATTTACATTTAATAAACAACCACTGCAAGAGACATTTAAGATGTTTATTGATTTTTTGAGCTGGGATACATTCTTTTATTTAAGTTATAGTACTTTAACATTAGGTCTATAGCTTCTGCTTTCTTATTTGGTAGGGTATGACACAGGCATGTGTCAGGTCCGTCCGTTGCATCGTCATCACTCCAGGGGCATAGCTTATAATGAAATCCAAACTTGGAGTACTGAAGCTCCTTTTCCTCCAGATCCTCCAAAATGCTCATCAAATTTTCAAGAATTTGTACGTGCTCCTCAAAGATCATCTCCTCGAATTGCATTAAAAAAATGTTTATTTGTTTGGCATGCATCTTGCAGCTGACTTCTTGACTCTTTATATCCACGTCTTTGCTCTGTTTCCCTTATATTTTTCTTTACCCATGTATTGGAAATGATAAGTACTATATCTAGCCATCTCTTTTTTACATATGTATATTCTTAACCTTTTTCTTTATTTTTGTCTTTACATGTATAGTTGTCTCTTCTTCTCTTACATATATGTATATAATGGGAAATCTTTATTTACTCTTTACATATAAATTGGAAATGGGCAGTGCTATATCTATTCATCTCTTTTCCTTTATATATAAAATGTGATTCCATGCTCCTTCAACATCTTAAAGGGTGCTTTTGTGGAAAATTTGGTTACATAACTTTTAGGTAAAAATATCCAAAGCGGTTCGTTGTCCTTATCAGTTAAATAAAGGACTACTTTATTTCCAAATGATGTTTTTTTGATTTTACATCCATTGATCTTGTACTCAAATCCTATGCACAGGTCCTCAACCTTGGTGTATCCAACCGCCGGCTTTGTCTCGTTAAGTAATTCTAGGAAAGCCTAGGTATATATTTGATTAAGTGCTTATCATTTTCTATATAGAGATTTAAATATTCTTACATACCATTATAGTAATAGAAACTATTCAAACTACTAACGATTTTATACTAAATTATTTAAAAGATTGCATGCTCTTTTATACTCTCATTAATTCAATTTTATACAAATGTGATCTGAGCAGATTGGTAGTTGAGTGATAATAAGTAAATGGTTTTAAAGCTGTAATGGCCAGATGTCTTAAGTCTGATTGGTTGTTGAGTAATAAGGGATGAATTATGGATACACTGCTGTATATTGGTTCAAATATTATATTTACATTTTCGGTCTTATATAACCATCAACATGAAAAAATTATATAAAGAGAACAAAATGCATAGAATTTTTGTTCATATGCTGATCACTTCCTATATAAGAACTGTAAGTTACTGAGATAGGTTAGTTCACTTTCACTTCGAAATGAGGACATTTCATTGCGAGTTGTGTTATTTAAAAACATCTTTTAGTTCCCGCAATGAACTGAGAAAACACACCTTAAAAATCCACAACTTTAGTTATTCAAAATCAAAATCATCATTTTATCAATGTTACTTATGTTACTTAAACAGCAGCGCGCGCCAAGGCGCGTGAAGAAGAATCAGGAGCACATCAGGGATGCTGCAGTGATAAAGCCACCTGCGGCCATCGTCTTCCTGGTTGCCCAATCGTCGGCCAAACAGAGGCAGAATTCTCCGCCTTCGGCTGTCCTCTTCGCCCCGACTCTGTCCAGGATTCCTCTTCCAGCAGCTTCAGGGAGCACAGTTTACCAAATCATAGGGTTCAGCGGATGCTAGTCTCGTCTATTACCATCCTAATGTTTAAAGTATAAAAATCTCACAAAATTTGTATATTCATGAAGAATAATTATCAGCCAACCTCATTAACGTTCAAGTTCCCACTGGGAGTTCGGGAAATGTGTTCAGAATTTGCAGTTATAAGTATTGTTAAGACATCGCTAGTTTAATTCATTTTCGTTACACATTCGTTAAACTCATATCATGCTTAAGCAATCTTTATAAATATTCACAAGCTATTGTTGTCAGTTAAGATCGGATTGAATTGTCAGGGAGAAAATTCCCCCAAAAGTTCTGTGGCTCCACATACAAGGAGTAGGTCGAAGCTAGGAATGCTGAGTTGTAGCAAGAGATAGAGTCCCCGTACTGTAAACCACCTTTCCGAATTAACGCTTGTTTTCAGCCTACGCCGGAAGATCGATCTTTCGTCGTTGGAAATTGAACAGTGAGTGAGTAAGCATACCTTCCAAAAGTTGAAATGTACGTAGTTTTGAAAACCAACTGATCCTTGCCCAACCTCGCGAATTTGAAACCTCTGACCTCTGCCTATTGAGGCTTTGCCTTGAGCGATCTGATCGTTGGCTAATTAGAGATGCCATCTGCATCCGGTCATCGACTGAACTCCGCATAGGAGATCACGTTTTGTCAGCCAGACCGCCTCTTTGATTTTCGACTCATTCCAAAGCTAAAAGATTTAATGATTTTTCCACATTTGTGCGAAAAGCGAAAGTAACGCACTTAAAGTATTCAATTATTTTCCCATGTTAAGCGAAAAGCGAAATTTATGAATTTAATTAGAATTTAACTCGAATTACAGTGTTATTATATATATACTCATTACATTATGAAATATCCTCATATACCCAACCATTACGAATCACCTATTTTTAGTAGTTATTAAGATCATTTACTATGTTGCCATATCGGATTTAATTTTTGTTTTAAGGAAATAATGTTGAAGTTTAGATAAAAGAACAAAATGGACTCAATGCTAGCTCGCGCGTTTTCGTAAAAGGTCAAAAGGGGTCATCGAAGAACGGCTATTCCGTGAGGATGACCAAAGGCAGGGTGGGTTCAGACTCCGCATAACATCTGCGGACATATACACCGATGTCTCTCCGTTTTCCTTGGTTCTCACTTCCCTTTCCTCTTTATCCTTCTTTCCTTTCGCTTCCCTCTCTCTTCCTGTTCTCTATCCTCTTTAGCTTCGTATCTTCTTCTCGTCAAATCTACCGTTCTAGCACAAGTCGCAGCACGCTAAATTCTGGCAATATTATTGGTAATTGAAGCCTCGAGTCTGGGTTGATCTGAGGGAGCAACAACTCCACCCCCAAAGCCGACGAGCTAGAGCCGGATAATTATTAGCGTGCCCAGCTCTCTCAAATCGTAACGCCCGTTTTCGAACAGGACTCGTTGCACGTTACATCATCCGGGAAAATGTATGATGGATTATCATTATTAGGCGTTGCATTCCTTGGGTCATCGTCGTCATCATCCCATTTAATGTCACTTAACCAGGTGAAGTTGCTCTCGAGATAGGTTTGGGTCTTAATCCCAAAAATCAAGGACAGGTCTACGGAGTTCGGCTGAGAGTCCAGATTTATGGTTGATTCCGGTTGGGAATCGATAAAAATGGTTTCGAGGTCATCCATCGTTGTTGAAAGATTACTAGTTTATGTACTAGCTGTTAGCTGTGAGTAGTTATTATAACGGCACTTTGCTATGGGACAGTGTTAGGTACACAAAGGAGGAATATAAATTATAGAGAAAGTAGAAAGGTTCAAGGGCATCGAAACCGTTTTCAGGAAACACTTAAAAAATACCTCTAAACTATCACATTAGATTCATTGCAAAGGGATGACTGGGTTTCTAGATGTCCGTATAGAGGGTTGAATGGTAAGAGAACACATAATTAAGGGAGATACATATATACAGGAGCACACAAAGAATAAAATTATAATAGGAAGACAAAAAAATTAATTAATGCTACTTATAGTAAATATACGGCCGTCCCTTATCCTTTTTAGCGCATTGGCCAATGTACGCCTGAGTTCTTATTATGGACCTTTATTAATTATTATTTAAACTACATTCATTGTGCTTAGCGTCGAAGTCAGATATCAAGATGCCAGACCGCTTGGCAGAGTCGCCGGTGTTGCCACACCAGCGAACGACTCTAAGATCAGTGTTGCTGAGGGGCTGCGATCCGGGCTGCCACAGTACTCCCCCTAGAAAAGTTACAAATATTCAGTTTTGTCTTTTCTTCTCATATGTCCGTAATGGGACATTTGATAGCTGATCGTCAGAGGAGCTGGTCTCGGAATTCGCCATAAATGCTGTCGATATTTGGCGAAGCAAAATCCTGCGAGATTAGAGATATGCTTGTGCCGTTGGTGAGACGTTGTTTCTTGATGTCAATAAGCAAATGGAACTGTGCTAGGAAGTCAGCGCCAATAATTGCGGTTTGTACATCAGCGATGACAAATGACCATTTAAACGAACGATCCAGGCCCAGGTCGAGTTCGAGATCCTGATTTCCAAAAGTTCGAATGGTGGTCTGGTTTGCGGCATACAATTTCAGTTTGTCATCGCTAAGTTTGCGTTGAGCCATAGTGCAAGGTATAACTAACTCAGCTGGTAGGCGGTAGCATCTCAACGACCAGCGACAAGTTATCTGTGAATCACGACCACCGACTGCACATCATCTACGTTCGTGCCATGGGAAACCTTGGGCTTTTTGGGGATGTTGTGTTGTAGCTTATCAACCTTCTGTGAAAGACGGTGCAAAGCAGCAGCAACGTCTTTCAAATTCGGACTTTTGCTACTTACCGCATCGACGCTCTGCTGAATATGGTCAGCGGAATTGGGTTGAGTCGACATAACACACATGGAGTCGATGGCATTATTTTCGATCATCTTGTTGACAATCTTTGCCAGCTTGTCCAGATCATTCTCCTCCCAAACCGAAATGAGCGGACGAATCGACGAAGGCAACTCGGTGAGGTCGCATCCACTAGCGGGTGACAAGCGACGCAAGTGAAGCAAGATTTCAGATGGCTTCCCAGTCATGTCTCCACCCCGGAGCAGCCGTCTCATTTTTGAATCCTCTGACTCGCCGAAAGTTTCGAGCAGCCGACGCCTCATTGCGTCGTACTTGTTGACAGGCGGTGGGTGAGTATTGACACCAGGTCAAATTTGTGATCGTCGCGCACCACATTGTGCAAGTTAAGGAGACGCTCCAGTTGCGCGAACCAAAGCTGCGGATTGGATTTATTGAATTTTGGAATGATGATCTGAGCTAAATGTTGAGAGTTTGAAGCTGTTAGCTGTGCGGCTGCTACTTAAAGCATATGCAGTTTCTCTCTTAACTCATTTAGTGTGGCCTCCGTGTTCGCCATGTTTGTTGCTGTTCTTGCATTTGCGGTTGTTTTTTAACGTGGGGGTCACCACTTTAGCGCATTGGCCAATGAACGCTTGAGTTCTTATTATGGATCTTTATTAATTATTATTTAAACTACATTCATTGTGCTTAGCGTCGAAATCAGATAACAAGATGCCAGACCGCTTGGCAGAGTCGCCGGTGCTGCCACACCAGCGAACGACTCTAAGATCAGTGTTGCTGAGGGGCTGCGATCCGGGCTGCCACACCTTACTACACCTATCGGTGATAATGTAAACTAACTTCGATCTCAATCCTCTTTCTCACCCATGTAAAATCCTCTAAAATCGACCCTTCGCTCATTTATATTCTCTCTCCTCCCTCTTACTTTCTGTTGAGGAACGTATAACAAGTCCATCGCTAAGCGAAGAACCATCGGCAAAAGAGAACAAGAAGAGAATGGAAGAGACGAAAATTTGTATACACACATATTCTTACCGCCGCTGCGACGGCATTTTTCAGTACCAAATAGACATCGAACTGGACAAGAACAAAATAAATACAGTCCACTAGAATCAAATCCGTCGAGCATATTATTTGCGAACATTCTTTGGTCCTTCGAGCCGGATTCTTGAACAGTTTTGTGTGCTTTGGTGTTAATTGAAAATTGTTTACAATGGAACAATTAAAGGCATTGGTAAAAGCCCGTGGCAGACTCAAGGCCATTATCACACGCGCATTGGCTTGGGCTGAACGGGAGGAACCAACTACAACGGCGCAGGTCACCTCACGGATGGAACTGCTCCAATCGGCTTGGAAAGAGTTCTCACAACTTGGAGATTCCATAGCCCTTCTCGACCACGTGGATGGGTATGGGGATCCAGAGGAAGACAATGCACTCTACGAGGAAAAGTATCTATTGGCACATGCAATGATTTTGGAGAAAAAGGGGTTAGTACAACCAACTACAACTGCAACGATCAACGGGGATGGCAGCAGAGAGCTTCATCTAAACAACGACGCAGTACTCAGCCTGCTACAACAGCAACAACAGCTATTTGAACGCGTGCTGCTGGAGAGAGCGAGAGCGTCGAGTTTAGAGGCGCGGTAAATTCAAATTCTGCAGTTGGTGCGGTCACACCAATACAGAGCGAACTGCCAACAATTCAAATCAAACGGTTCGCTGGCAGCTACACAGAGTGGCCAGCATTTGACGAACACACAGAAGTTTCATCATTTGAAAACACTACTCATCGATGAGGCTGCCAATTTGGTACGACATTTGGCGATCACGGACACTGCTTACAACACTGCATGGGAGCGTCTCAAGGAAAGGAACAATCGGCCGAGGCATATCGTAAACTCGTTTTTGGAACAATTTATGAGGTTGCCCACAACTACTAAAATTGATGCGGCGATTTTCCGTAAATCAAACGGGACGCGACTGTTGGATTATATATCTAGCACTGGAAAAACTTGATGCCGAAACGAGGCGCAGGTGGATTGAACGCAGTTTGAATAAAGACTCACCCACTCTCGACGACTTCTTCAAGTTCTTGGATGCTCGTTGCGAGGAATTGGAACAAAGCAAAGGGGAGCCTTCGTCTGAAGGGAAAACAGTAACTCACGGGGACAAATCAAAAAGAATCACACACTCGATGGTGGCAGTTGAAGGCAGCAACTGCACCAAATGCCATTCGACAGAACACATTCTGTATGGCTGTCCACAATTTTTGGAAATGACAGGTTTGCAAAGGCGCTCTTTTGTAAAAGATAAAAATCTATGCTATAACTGTTTGAAGCCTGGTCATTTGAGCAACAAGTGTAAATCAAAATACACATGTAAACAATGCAAAGGTCATCACCATTCACTACTCAATTTACCAGATACTACATCGGGTATTATCGGGACCTTTGCGCAAACAAAAGGGGATAATCAGAGCAATTCAAACGCGCATTATAACACTTCGGTGACTTCAAGTCACATTGCCCAAGCAGAGGGCACACCATCGATTGCATGTGCGCAAGGCACTGCACAATCTACTCAAGCAAAAGGATTGAACAGAAGCACATTACCCACGGCCATGGTTTATGTTAAAAACGCAAATGGGGACTATATAACATGTCGCCTCTTATTGGATACTGGCTCAGAACTCTCGTATATATCGGAACGTTGCATTCACGCTCTTGGATTGGCACGTTCACAATCACGCATCCTTGTTTCGGGAATATCTTCAGTAAAAGCCGACACCACAAGGGGATCCAGCACACTTCACATCAAGTCCCGAATTTCTGAGGATTATTTGACTGTAAGCGCCCATGTACTTGGCAGAATCACTTCATCAATGGGAAGGCAAAACATTGATGCATCGGCACTCGATGTGTTTAGTGATCTTCAATTGGCTGACACACACTTCTGCACAAACGCACCAATTGACATACTATTGGGTAGCGAACACGTATGGTCTACATGTATGCAGGTATGCAGGCCAGTCGGGGCTAAAGAGGGCGATCGAGCTGAGTCCTTAAGATCGGTACCACGGGTTGTGCAGTTTCCAAGGCTGCACATTGAGGTCGGCCCCCTAGTGGGAGTATCGTGGCTGTGGTTGACACCCAAACGTTACGCGGGAAGAGCCGCTCGGTTCCTCGTGGAGACCGACCGACCAGGATACTTTTAATTGGTACCGGAAGAGTCGCTATGTACATAGCTATAGCTTCTTTTTAGGGGAGCTAACTGGCGCATGTACCAGATTCCTGCGTATGTAGAGGTGGTGCGTGATGGCGTGATATATGTATATATATCGCACTAATCGAGGCTAAGCTGCAAATAAACATTAGACGCCGTGGTGGAAATCCCTCCCTGAGGAACCGCCACGTAAAATAAAGCTGAGAGATCAGATTCATTCTGTCCCTATCTACTCAAAAGCAGACGTGGTTTTCAAGCGTTCCGCTGTGCCGTCTTTTCAGTGTAGAAAGAAGTCATTTTTCCGAGTGGAAAGTGAACATAAATTTGCCGCGAGATTACGCGCAGTTATCAAGTGAAATTGCGAGTCGATTTGGTGCCAATTTGGTGAAGTTATTGGCAAATTAGTTTTTAGCTAAAATAACTCAAGAAACAGCCCTGTGCGGACATTAGTTCGACAACAGGTGCAGATAGCTCGACAACAAGTGCGCTTTGTTGGACGAAAAGTTCGAGTTCGCAGCTTCGGTTCGAAGCTTTGGCTCAAGGTTGGAGCTTGTGGTTCGCGTCTCCACTAGTGCCGTTTAGTGTAGAGTTACGCCGATAGAGGGAGCCACATAGACAATGGAAGTAGACACAGAGGCCGACGCCAGCGACACTAGCCTGGCTAGTGTAGGGGCGAGCTCGTCGTCGAGCGTTCCCACCCGCAGGCGGGGTCGGCCGAAGTCCTCAGCTGCCAAAAAGGGAGCCAAGAAGATCGGGCTTGGGATTGGGCTAACCGGAGAGCGGCCGATCCCAGCCAAGAGATCGCCGCCAACATCGCTCCCCTTGGAGGAGGCTCCATGCACCTCTGCCGCTGCCGCTGCCGCTGCCACCACCGCTGCCCGTACCTCTGCCGCCGCTGCCACCATCGCTGCCACCACCGCTGCCGCTGCCACATGTCCGGCAACTGGCATTGTCGCGGCAGGCTACTCGGCCATCATCGCGGAAATGTCTGCGATAAGGATGGCGGTGAACCAGGCTGTGCTGAAGGGGCTGATTCCGCCATAGGCTTCCATGGAAATCCTCGTCGCTACCAACCGGTACGACGAGTTGGTCATGGCCCTGGCTGGAGAAAAGTTGCGCCTGGAGGAGAGGGCAAGGATGCCGCCTCCACCGAGACCCGCTGCTGCTGCCCACACGGGCACCACTGCCGTCACAACCGCTGCGTATGCGACAGCCTTCCCAGGCCTGCCCGCACCGAGCGCCGTCGCTGCACCGATCCCAAAGCCTAGGGATACCTGGTCTGCTCTAATAAAGAGCAAGAACCCGGAGGAGACCAGCAAGGAGCTTGTGGAGCGAGTAAAGAAGACCGTGGTGCCGACTCTTGGAGTCCGCGTCCACGAGGTTCGCGAACTGAAGAGCGGAGGAGCGATTATTCGCACCCCTTCAGTGAGCGAACTGAGGAAGGTAGTGGACAGCAGCAAGTTCACCGAAGCAGGATTGGAGGTCAAGAAGAGGCCGGAGACCAAGCCTCAGGTCGTGGTGTATGACGTGGACACGTCCATAACACCTGAAGAGTTCATGGAGGAGCTCTTCACAAAGAACCTGGAGGAGACCATGACTGCCGCGGAGTTTAAAAAGTCGGTTCACCTGGGCAGTAAACCCTGGTCGGTCACCGACGGCGCCACGATCAACGTGACGCTAGAGGTCGACGCAAAGGCATAGGAGGCGCGAGATCACGCGCTGTTCGCCAGTGAAATCGCGTGTTAATTTGGTGCAAAAACTGCAGCTATTTGCAAATTAATATTTGCAAAATAAACGCCAAAAAACAGCCACGTGCGGAACTTTATTTCGTCAACAAGTGCGAATAGTTCGGCAACAAGTCGGAATAGTTCGTCAGCAAGTTCGAGTTCGAAGCTGTGAAGGCATAAGCCTCCACAACACTGACCACGACACCATCCCCTGAAGGGACCGCCCCGACGGCTTGTTATCTAATGTCATTATTATCTCAGTTCATTTCCGATTTTATTTCTTCAATTATTATTAGTATTACCAAGACAAACAACAATGAATCCTTATTTTCACCCATTAAAGTAAGAAATAGGCTAAGAAACCCCAAAACAGTAGGCCTTTTTACTTATTAGAACTAAGAGAACCAACACGTAAGAGAGACGCACACTACGGCCACGCAGCGAAGAGAGACGCCCACCACGGCTATACGAAGGCGAAGAGAACCAACACGAAAGAGATACGCTCTTACGCCCACGCAGCCAACGCAAGGAAGAGAACGGCTATACGCAGACGAAAAGAGACAACATGAAAGAGAGCGAAGCGGCAGAGAAGCCGCCGATCGGTCTTACGCCCACGCAGCCGAGGAAAAGAGCCGACGGCGAAGCAGGCAATACACACACGCAGCCATACACCCACGCAGCCGAGGCCGGCAGCCGAAGAGGCCGGCACGCGAAGCGGCAGAGAAGCTGCGAAAAAGAAAAGCCGAGGCCTGGCACGGTCCAGCGCGAGCCAAGCTCGGGAGTGATCTCCGAGGGCTGAGCCAGACCGGTTGTGCGGCGGAAGCCAAAATAGATGTGAAAAACTAGCCGTGACCGCGCCGTGTACGCAATAAGCCGTGTTCGCCCGCACGCGGTGAATAAAACCAGCTGTGACCGCACCCACGCGGTGTGCAAAGGAAGCCACCGAAGTGACGAGGACCCGCCGTGGGAGAACAGGACCCAAAGAAGGGAAACAAGGGTGAGCCACCTCACGTATGTGAGCTCTGGGGGGGATAGATCGGTGCAGTAGGCAGGTATAAGCAGAACATTCCCGCAGTTTCTTTACATATCTATGCACATGTTGTTTATGATATTTTTTGGCGTTTATTTCGATCCGAAAACAATAAAGACACCTCAACCCACCTGTCTCGGAACATTCGCCCCCCCCTCCCCTCTCTTCCCTTTTCCCGGGAGGCCCGGCGAAGTGGATGTGAGTCGTGGATCATGCGGCATTCACCAAGCTGGGTTTTCCCTCTCCTATACCTTTCTCTTCTGGGGACCCGGCGATGCTGGATATGAGTCGTGGATTCATGCGGCATTCGCAAAGCTGGGCTTCCCTCTCCTATACCTTTCTCCCCTGGGAACCCGGCGAAGTGGATGTGAGTCGTGGATCATGCGGCATTCACCAAGCTGGGTTTTCCCTCTCCCACACCTTTCTCCCCTGGGGACCCGGCGATGCTGGATGTGAGTCGTGGATTCACGCGGCATTCGCAAAGCTGGGTTCCCTCTCCTACACCCTCGCCCGGGGGACGAGGCATGGGCTAGGCTGGGCTCCCCTCTCCCACACCTTTCCGATCCCTGACCCAAACCCCGTCTCCCGCCACACATGACCCCCAACGCACGTCTCTGCAGCTCCCAAGCTCGGCTTCACCCACGCCTCGTGGCCGGGCCAGGCCCGACCGGCCCACGATCCACCCCACGGGCGCGCTTTCGCCACGAGCGGCTCTCCGTTGCCGTTGCCGTTGCCGGAGAACGTGTGCCACCGGTGTGGACAGAACGGCCACAACGTTGCACGGTGTCCCAACCCCGTGAACTGCCGCAACTGCCGCTTCAAGGGGTACCCTGCAGCACATTCCATGCTGTCAGCGGCGTGCCCGATCTACGCAGCGGTACTGGCGAGGGTGCAAGCTAGACATTAATGTTTAGTTTCATCCAAGCTAATGGTGGCCGTGGCCGAGCGGCTGTGATGGAACTCGGAGCCATCATGCGCAGCTCTGGCCGTCAGTTCGCACTGGTCCAGGAGCCGTACGTCGATGGAGCAGGGCGGATTACCGGCCTTCCTTCTGGAATGCGAGTATTCCAGGACCGCCGAGGAAAAGCTGCTATCATCGTCGACGAACCGGACGCCATCTGCATGCCAATGGAGACCCTTACCACGGATTTTGGAGTATGCGTCAGAGTTACGGGAAGATTCGGCTCAATCTTCCTATGCTCCGTGTACTGCCAATTCGACACCGACTTGGCGCCGTACCTCAGGTACTTAGATGCGGTGCTGCTGCTGGGCAGCCGCACTCCTGTCATCTTTGGGCTCGACGCGAACGCAGTATCCCCAGCGTGGTTTAGCAAGCTCTCCGGACACAATCGGTGCAAGCTAACTATGCACGGGGTGAGCTGCTGTCTGAGTGGATAACCGAGATGAAAGCCGGCGTTCTCAATGAAGCCAGTCGGGTGTTTACATTCGATAACCGTAGAGGCCAAAGCGATATCGATGTGATATCGTCAACCAAGCTGCGACTATGTGGGGCACATACGATTGGGAAGTGAAGGAATGGGACACCAGCGATCACAACATGATCCATGTTGTGGTGACGACTGACTGAGTGGAAAATATATCATAATTGCCGCGAGATCACGCGCTGTTCGCCAGTGAAATCGCGTGTTAATTTGGTGCAAAAACAGTGCAGCTATTTGCAAATTAATATTTGCAAAATAAACGCAAAAAAACAGCCACATGCGGAACTTTAGTTCGTCAACAAGTGCGAATAGTTCGACAAGTCGGAATAGTTCGTCAGCAAGTTCGAGTTCGAAGCTTTGGCTCGAGGTCGGAGCTTTTCGGTTCGTGTCTCCACTAGTGCCGTTTAGTGTTGAGTTACGCCAATAGAGGGAGCCACAACTCGCCGGGTAATGGAAGTAGACACGGAGGCCGACGCCAGCGACACTAGCCTGGCTAGTGTAGGGGCGAGCTCGTCGTCGAGCGTTTCCGCCCGCAGGCGGGGCATTAAGAAATGGTGACAATAAAGAAAGAATACGCTGTGAAGAGAGAGAGAGTCGCCGAGTGTGGCGCGGTGTTGTTGTATTTGAGAGAGCGACATCAAAAAGGAATTGAGGAAGGAGAGCAATTAAATCTGAAAATGCTGTGTCGGTCAATGCGAGAATTGAGAGAAGCAGAGACAAGAATGTGCTCGGCAGGTTGCTCATGGACTTTAGAGAGAGAGACAACACCACGACTCATTGCGCTCGAGGCTTAAGAAAAATTGCAAGAAGAAGAGCCCCCTGTCCCTCAGCCCCAGTTGCTTTTTGACTGCCACTCGAAGCAGACGTGTTTTTCAAGCGGTCCGCTATACCGTCGTTCGAATAAAGTAAAAAGTGATTTTTCCAAGTGGAAAATACATCAAAATTGCCGCGATATCACGCGCTGTTCGTGAGTGAAATCGGGTGTTAATTTGGTGAAAAAACAGAGCAGATATTTGCAAATTAAAATTTGCAAAATAAACGCTAAAAACAACCACGTGCGGAACCCTAGTTCGTAAACAAGTGCGAATAGATCGACAACAAGTCGAAATAGTTCGACAGCACGTTCGAGTTCGAAGCTTTGGTTCGAAGCTTTGGCTCGAGTTCGGAGTGTTCGGTTCGTGTCTCCGCTGAGACGTTGGTTCGAGTCTCCACTAAGTGCCGATTAGTTGAGTCACGCCAATAGAGGAAGCCACAACTCGCCGGGCCATGGAAATAGAGACGGAGGTCGACGCTAGCGACACTAGCCTGGCTAGTCGAGCGTTCCCGCCCGCAGGCGGGGTCGGCCGAAGTCCTCAGCCGCCAAACAGAGAGCCAAGAAGATCGGGCTTGGGATTGGGCTAGCTGGAGAGCGGCCGATCCCAGCCGAGAGATCGCCGCCAACGTCGCTCCCCTTTGAGCAGGCTCCAGGCACCTCTGCCGCTGCCGCTGCCGCTGCCACCACCGCTGCCAGTACTCCTGCCGCCGCTGCCGCCACCGCTGCCACCACCGCTGCCACCACCGCTGCCACATGCCCGGCAACTGACATTGTCGCGGCAGGCTACTCGGCCATCATCGCAGAAATGTCTGCGATAAGGATGGCGGTGAGCAAGGCTGTCCTTAAGGGGCTGATGCCGCCCGAGGCCTCAATGGAAATCCTCGTCGCGACCAACCGGTACGACGAGTTGGTCATGGCCCTGGCTAGGGAAAAGGTGCGCCTGGAGGAGAGGGCAAGGATGCCGCCTCCACCGAGACCCGCTGCTGCTGCCCACACGGGCACCACTGCCGTCACAACCGCTGCGTATGCGACAGCCTTCCCAGGCCTGCCCGCACCGAGCGCCGTCGCTGCACCGATCCCAAAGCCTAGGGATACCTGGTCTGCTCTAATAAAGAGCAAAAACCCGGAGGAGACCAGCAAGGAGCTTGTGGAGAGAGTTAAGAAGACCGTGGTGCCGACTCTTGGAGTCCGCGTCCACGAGGTTCGCGAGCTGAAGAGCGGAGGAGCGATTATTCGCACCCCTTCAGTGAGCGAACTGAGGAAGGTAGTGGCCAGCAGCAAATTCACCGAAGCAGGATTGGAGGTCAAGAAGAGGCCGGAGACCAAGCCTCAGGTCGTGGTGTATGACGTGGACACGTCCATAACACCGGAAGAGTTCATGCAGGAGCTCTTCACAAAGAACCTGGAGGAGACCATGACTGCCGCGGAGTTCAAAAAGTCGGTTCACCTGGGCAGTAAACCCTGGTCGGTCACCGACGGCGCCACGATCAACGTGACGCTAGAGGTCGACGCAAAGGCACAGGAGGCGTTGCGCGAATGCGTATACATCAAGTGGTTTAGATGCCGCTGCCGCTCCTTGGTCAGAACATACGCCTGCCACAGATGTGCAGGCTTCGACCACAAGGTGTCGCAATGTCGCCTAAAGGAGAACGTGTGCCACCGGTGTGGACAGAACGGCCACAACGTTGCACGGTGTCCCAACCCCGTGGACTGCCGCAACTGCCGCTTCAAGGGGTACCCTGCAGCACATTCCATGCTGTCAGCGGCGTGCCCGATCTACGGAGCGGTACTGGCGAGGGTGCAAGCTAGACATTAATGTTTAGCTTCATCCAAGCTAATTGTGGCCGTGGCCGAGCGGCTGTGATGGAACTCGGAGCCATCATGCGCAGCTCTGGCCGTCAGTTCGCACTGGTCCAGGAGCCGTACGTCGATGGAGCAGGGCGGATTACCGGCCTTCCTTCTGGAATGCGAGTTTTCCAGGACCGCCGAGGAAAAGCTGCTATCATCGTCGACGAACCGGACGCCATCTGCATGCCAATGGAGACCCTTACCACGGATTTTGGAGTATGCGTCAGAGTTACGGGAAGATTCGGCTCAATCTTCCTATGCTCCGTGTACTGCCAATTCGACACCGACTTGGCGCCGTACCTCAGGTACTTAGATGCGGTGCTGCTGCTGGGCAGCCGCACTCCTGTCATCTTTGGGCTCGACGCGAACGCAGTATCCCCAGCGTGGTTTAGCAAGCTCTCCGGACACAATCGGTGCAAGCTAACTATGCACGGGGTGAGCTGCTGTCTGAGTGGATAACCGAGATGAGAGCCGGCGTGCTCAATGAAGCCAGTCGGGTGTTTACATTCGATAACCGTAGAGGCCAAAGCGATATCGATGTGACAATCGTCAACCAAGCTGCGACTATGTGGGCCACATACGATTGGGAAGTGAAGGAATGGGGCACCAGCGATCACAACATGATCCATGTTGTGGTGACGACTGACCCGAACGACACAGTTGAGCCCATTGCTCCTGTGCCGTCATGGAAGCTTTCCAATGCGCGCTGGCGATTGTTCGAGGAGGAAGTGGTAAGGGAGATTGCCGAATTACCGGAAGACATCGCCGAATCGCCGTTGGACAACCAAGTGTCTGCACTGCGCTCTGTAGTGCACAGTGTGTGCGACAGAGTGCTGGGACGCAGCACACCGAGAGCCGCGAGAAAAGTAGTTTGGTGGACTGCCGAACTACACTCCAAACGCCGAGAGGTCAGGAGACTGAGGCGAAGGCTCCAGGACGCTCGTCGGCATGAGACCGACGCAGCAGAGGAACTTGTGCTCGCGTTGAGGATCTCCTCAGCGCAGTACAAGAAGCTCATCCTGAGATCGAAGGAAGACAACTGGCGACGCTTCGTGGGAGAGAACAGAGATGATCCATGGGGGCACGTCTACAGGATTTGCCGAGGCCGCAAAAAGAGCACGGAGATTGGATGCCTTCGAACGGATGGTAGGCTGGTCGCAACATGGCGCGACTGTGCGGGTGTGCTCCTTCGCAACTTCTTTCCTGTTGCGGAGACGAATGCACACATTGCCATCCCGATCGAGGCTCCACCGGCCCTCGAAACTTTCGAGGTTGATGCATGCGTCGCCAGGTTGAAGAGCAGACGCTCTCCCGGCATGGACGGCATCACAGGTGCCATTTGCAAGGCATTGTGGCGTGCCATCCCTCAGCACATGACAGCGATGTATTCCCGCTGCCTGGAGACAGGGTATTTCCCAACGGAATGGAAGCATCCCAGGGTGGTTCCACTCCTGAAGGGACCCGATAAGGACCGGACCGATCCTACCTCATATCGGGGTATCTGTCTGTTGCCAGTGCTGGGCAAAGTGCTTGAGGGCATCATGGTGAATCGTCTGAAGGACACCATTCCGGATGGCTGCAGATGGCAATTTGGCTTTCGCCAAGGACGTTGTGTGGAGGATGCTTGGAAACACGTCGTGAGTACTGTTTCGGCCAGCCGGTCGAAATACGTGCTCGGAGTCTTCGTGGATTTCAAGGGAGCCTTCGACAACGTTGAGTGGAATGCTGCACTACGCCGCCTCCTTGAGCTGGGATGCCGAGAAGCAAGCTTGTGGCGAAGTTTCTTCTCCGGCCGGAGTGCGAGCATCGTCAGTAGACATGGAGTAGCCACTGTTCCGGTGACAAGAGGTTGCCCGCAGGGGTCCATAAGTGGTCCATTTATATGGAACATCTTAATGGACGTGTTGCTCCAGCGCTTAGAGCCCCTTGGTGCGCTCAGCGCGTATGCTGACGACTTGCTCCTCCTCATCGAAGGGAATGCCCGATCAGAGCTCGAACAAAAAGGAGGTGAGTTAATGTCCATCGTAGGCGCTTGGGGAGTTGAAGTCGGCGTTGCCGTTTCAACTAGCAAGACGGCGATCATGCTGCTCAAAGGCATACTTAGACGGCCGCCAGTGGTACGGTTTGCTGGAGCAAGCCTGCCATATAAGCGCAAGTATCGGTACCTAGGCATCACGGTCGGCGAGCGGTTGAGTTTTCTCCCGCACATCACGGGCTTGCGTGATAAGCTGACCGGAGTCGTAGGGGCATTGTCGCGCGTACTGCGGGTAGACTGGGGACTCAGTCCCCGCGCAAAGCGGACAATATATGCCGGACTCATGGTGCCCTGTGCACTATTTGGTGCCTCGGTTTGGTCTGTCGTGACGACGACGCAAGTGGTTGCCAGGAGGCATCTGCTTGCGTGCCAAAGGATCGTCCTGATTGGATGCCTACCGGTATGCCGAACAGTGTCCACCATGGCGCTGCAAGTACTAGCTGGAGCCCCCCCGTTTGATCTGGTTGCCAGACGCCTGGCAATCAGCTTCAAACTAAAGCGTGACTACCCGCTGGAGGAGAGCGATTGGCTGTACGGCGAAGATTTGGCAAATCTTAGCTGGAAGCAGAAGATGGCGCGACTAGACGAAGACCTGTTGTGCGAGTGGCAACGCAGATGGGATGATGGTGACTCCCCAGGACGGGTGACGCACCGCTTCATCCCGAACGCAGGCTTCGTCTACAGCGAACGAAGGTTTGGCTTCACGCTGCGCGCTGGGTTCCTGCTGACGGGCCACGGATCGCTCAATGCATTTCTGCATGGAAGAAGCCTTAGCGACACGCCAGCATGTCTATGCGGCGCAGAACGCGAGGATTGGCAGCACTTCCTATGTGCTTGTCCCCTCTATACAGACTTGCGAGACCTCGATGGACTTGGAGTGCAGTACACGGATGGCGACTGGACCTTCTCCGATGTGACGGCTTCTCAGGAGAGAATGCGGACTCTCGACAGGTTCGCCGGACTGGCGTTCTCCAGGCGACAACAGCTGCTGAATGCGCAAGCGGCGCACGGGCTGGGTGGATTCCCTATCCAGGCCGGTCGGGGCTAAAAGGGAGGATCGAGCTGAGTCCTTAAGATCGGTACCACGGGTTGTGCAGTTCCAAGGCTGCACATTGAGGTCGGCCCCCTAGTGGGAGTATCGTGGTGGCTGTGGTTGATACCCAAACGTTACGCGGGGAGAGCCGCTAGGCTCCTCGTGGAGTTGCGCTCTCAACCGGGTGCCGAGACCCATAGATCGGAAGACGTGTTAGATACACCTCGCCCCTCACCA